CTGTTCCCCAAGTTTTCTTCTTAAAAGTTATCTTTGCCAGATTTTGTGTCAGAATAAGTCTGATCTACTACAACGGGGTGAAGAGGACTCCCACTTAAATTCACCTCATTGAATTTGGAAGCCCGGCATGTTGACACACACTTGTAATATGAGCACTTGAGAGGCTGAGACAGGAAGATCTACCTAAGTTCCAGACCAGTCATAGTGACTTCAACTGAACTACATAGCCAGGCCTGTCTCAAAATAAAAAGCTGGATAAAATTGTCACTATTTTTCCTCAAAAGTTTATTAGATCACTAATGAAACCATATGGCTTGAGAATTTTATACTTTGTTTCCCCAGATTCTCTGTGTTTTCTTATATTAGCATTTGCAATTATGTCTTTCAAGAAATTCATTAGCTTTATATGTTATTGCAATCATTAAGACTGAGCATAGTGGCATGCACCTGTAATCCCAGGTCTTGGGAGGCCGTAAACAGGTAGATCACTATGAGTCTGATTTAGTAGTGAGATCCTGAACACCCTGTAGACCCTTCCCTAAAATACAAAAAAAAAATCATTGACATAATAATATTTATGATATTCTCCTATTTTTGTAACCTTTTTATTATCATTAGTATCTTCTGAGATTATCTTCAGAACTTGTAAATGTTTTATATTGTTGATAGAATTAAAATGATTTATAGTCTGTACTGTTTCCTCTATCTTTTGTTTTTCTTTCTCTAGTATCTTAATGTGTAAATTTAGATTACAAATATTTTTGCCATTCTTCTTTTTTAATACATATTTCTCACTACCCACTACTTTATTTCCATAATACATTTTGATTTGATTGTTATTTTTCTTAAGTTTATGTTTACTCATGGATTTCTCTTTCATCCAGAGATTGTTTAATACTGTGGCTTTTAATTTTAAAATGTTGGGGGTATATTTTATATATGTAATTGCCTTTGTTTCTAAATTAATTCACTGAGGTCAGATATCACATTCTGTGAAATTTCAGTGTCCAGCCCATCAACATTACAGACTAGCTTATAGTCCCTTTGGTAGGTAGCCTACGTACACTTGAAAGTAATAGCACAGAGCATTTTGAAGTGAAATTATATTTTCTAGCAGTTCTACTTAGTGTTCAGCATTATATTAAATTTGAGTAACAGATAAGTTTGGGGTATATTACAGAACACTAGTGCTAAGTGGAAGAACCTTAGAGAATACGATTTCACTTCACAGTTTTTTGTGCTGTTATTGCCATTTATTTTACCATTATGCTATACGATGCATCTCACAATGTTAAGTAATGTTTCTGTCAGTTGGCTCTGATTCCATGAATTAGGAGAGAAATAAAGAGAATATTTTGATATCAATATGCCTGTTTATATTTATTTTACTCTTTATTTCATCTGTAGACCTGGGTTTTCGTTTGGCCTTCCTTCCTTCAGCTGAAATATTTCTATAGTATCTGCTTCTGGTCAGTGAGATTTTTTTTTTTTAAATTTGTTTAGGTGTTTTCTTTCTGTCACGAAAGCATGTGTAACTTTGTAGGGCCATGGAGCAATTCTTTTTTCTACTTCTGTTATCAGAAAAGAATCATGCTTTCCAGAATTCCAGAGTTTGTTTTAGGGTTTCAGTTCTAGTACATAGTCTGGAACAAGCCCTTGTCAGTCTCCTACACTTCAGTGGATATCAAACGTAGTACAACTCCAACTCCTAGCCTTAGGTTCATTTTCAGCCATCTGGGGCATCAAGGAGAGCTAGAAGCAGCTTCTTCTTCTTTTTCTTTTTCTTCTTCTTCTTCTTCTTCTTCTTCTTCTTCTTCTTCTTCTTCTTCTTCTTCTTCTTCTTCTTCTTTATTTGGTACAGGGTCTACGGGGTCTACAGGGTCTCACTACATAGCTTGGACTTGTAGTGATTCTCCTGTTTTCAGCCCCCCAAGCACTGGGATTACAGGTGCGCACCACCACGCCCAGTCTCATTCACTTTCTCAGTGCACCCTGTGGTCGGGGCGGCGCTGCAAGTGAGGGCTATAACCCTGGCCATATGCTCTGCCTAAGCAGGCACTTTAGTCCTGTGAGGTATCCAGCTGGCCCTTGATGGCTAGAGACTTCTACTCTGTGGCTTTTTTGTTTTTGTTTTTGTTTTCCAGAACTGGGGACTGAACTCAGGCCCTTGTGAGCTATCTCCCCAGCCCCTCTACTCCAGGTTTTAATTCACAGTTTATTTTTTGCTGGTGATTTTTCTCTCAGTTGGAGCAAGGAATACCAAGTTACAGGAGTTACACAATTTCAGCACCTCTCTGTACTCATAGTAGAGATGATCACTTTAAGAGAGCAGTGTCAGGAGTCTTGCTGATTAACTCAGTTGGTTAAACTGCTTGCTTGGGCAAATTCAGTCAGGCGCAGGGGACTGCAGTTCAGTTCAATCCCTGCTCCACAAGCTACACCAAATCTGCCATTAAGGCAGCCTGAGCTAGCCAGGGAGAGAGAGAGAGAGAGAGAGAGAGAGAGAGAGAGAGAGAGAGAGAGAGAGAGAGAGAAATCCTTTCCCCTCTAGTCATTGTTAGACTGGCCAAAGAGCTCAGAGGATTAAAGCACCTGCAAGCAGGCACAGGGGCCAGGGATTCAATCCCCAGAACCTGCTGTGCCAGCCCTGGCCTTGGGGTGCACTGAGAGCAATTGAAACTGGGCGTGGTGGCGCATGCCTGTAATCCCAGCTCTTGGGAGGCTGTAAACAGGCAGATCACTACAAGTCCGATCAGACAGTGAGACCCTGAACACCCTGGAGACCCTGCCCTTAAAATACAAGGGAGGGAGGGAGGGAGGGAGGGAGAGAGAGAGAGAGAGAGAGAGAGAGGTGTCAGCTTAAACTGCCAAAATGACAGCCTACTTTTCTCTTTATATTATTACATACAAAATTGTAGGATTGCAAATATAACAAAACAATGATGTCAAACTTACACCAGAAGCTTTTCCTATTTATTCCACACTTTTTGCATCATTTGTTGATGTTTCTGACCAACCTATTCATGTTGACTAACAAATTTTGACTATTCATTTCCATTCTTCTTGTGATTTTTACCATGTGCTCAGTACAATCGTATATGTAAGTTATTAAGAAGGACGTGCAGACCTTTCAGCTTTGCTCTGCTACCTTTTTCTCTAACAGGTCTATGGAAATGCAGGACCTGGCAAGCCCTCACACTCTCGTTGGAGGTAGTGATACGCCTGGTAGCTCCAAACTGGATAAACCTAATCTCAGCAGCACGTCCGTCACTACAAACGGGACAGGAGGTAAGTGTATCACTCTCAGATACTCAGAGCCCATCTCAGTGTTTGTCTTGACCTGACATCTTAGGGGTCGGCTAATAAATAAGTATTATTCTATCAATCCTACAACAACATTATGTACAAGGAACATATAGTTAGTATAGTTTTTCTTTGCTATTTTCTTTAAATGTTTTCTTCCCCTATGGTGGGTAACACTCAGGGAGAATAGTTAGTTTTAAGCAACAGTTTGAGGGCCTGCAGAGAGCCTTTGTTTTCTATATTTTTACTTTTCTACGACTTTTCAGATTTACTTTGGATTTTGCAAAAAGAAGTTAGTCCCATTGTTTCATAAAGATGATTAATGTTAAAATGGTGTTTGAAATACAGAAAGTCATATCTGCTGTGTTTTCTTTTCAAAGAGAATAATACCATAATGCCTAATATTTATTTTAAAAAAACATTGCCTTTCCCCACATTATTTTGTCAGGCTGCAATTGCACCGTAACATATGGCGGCAGTGGCAGCTATTATTTCAGATATTCAGCTCTAGTGTTTTGACATAATCCATTCAATTTGTCATAGCATATTTCTGTAGGCTATGTCTATCTATACAGGGACTGCATTATATATATATATATATACACAATATACAAGTTGCAGTTTAAATTATTCACAATCATTTTGAAATTTTATAGATTTAATCTTGTCAATTAAATACATTGTTTCAACTTATAAACTGTTCATTTGAATGAATATTAACCTTTTCCACATCATATTTTCTTTTCAATTTTAACTAAATATCTATGAAATCTATACCCCTCTTCCCATCTAATATAGAATAGCTGTGCAATCTAAAATTTTCTTTGTCAAGTTGTGTGCATTGCAACTTA